AGTGCCCCGGAATGGACGTCCGAACGCTAGCAATTTTGAGAATGCAAAGGTTGGGTTCCTCCTACTACTACAAAAATGATTTATGGCAATGCCTCCCTTTCTTTGCAGGGGCGGCTCTATATTGAGCCGCCCCTACAAATGGTTGCCAAATGAGCCGCCCTTATAAATGGATTTGTAGGGGCGGCCGATGTTATCAGCCGCCCCTATAAATGGACCGATTTGTAGGGGCTCTATATCCAGCCGCCCCTATAAATGGACCGATTTGTAGGGGCTCTATATCCAGCCGCCCCTACAAATCGGATTTGTAGAGGCGGCTCAATATTGAACCGCCCCTACAAATAGACGCCGAGTATTAAAAATTAAGCACTAAAATTCAAATTTTGTAAATGATCTCGGATGGAGAAACAACCAAAATGAAAGTTGTAGATCTCGAAAAGTTATGAAACTTTGTATTTGACAACTTTTTGATTTGAAATCATCTTGTCAAGGAAAACTACGTTTGAATTTCTAAAAATTTGAAATTTGAATTTTTTAAACGACCTCAGATGGACAAACAGTAAAAATAAAAGTTGTAGATCTTGAAAAGTTATGAAACTTTGTAGTTGATAACTTTCTCATTTGAAATCATCTTGTCATAGACGTTCGGATTTCTCAAATTTGAAATTTAAATTTTATAAGTGACCTCGGATGGAGAAACTACCAAAATAAAAGTTGTGGATCTCGAAAAGTTATAAAACTTTGTAGTTGACAACTTTTTGATTTGAATTAGTTTAGGGCCTTAAACAATCAATTTATGCTCAGTTTTGTATAATATATGGGGAACCGAAATGGATTGTAGATAAAAGTGATCGTGAGATGTAGTGGTAGAGAAGTTTGCGCACGAGAGAGAGGTCGTGGGTTCGAAACCCGGCCGATGCAAAGTGTGCAAAAATCGTGAAAAAAATAATACAACGATAGAGCCGGTGGGTCCTCCTCGAACCTCGGATAAAAAAATTACTATTTTTTTATCTTCTTTTTTGTGATTTCTAAAAATTAAATTGATTTGTAGGAGCACCGTCACTACAAGGTTACGAGCCGCCCCTGCGAAGCATATTTCACGTAGTGTCCTAGTCCAATTTTCTGTTCTGTTTGACCACACGCGTGCACAGCTCCGCGCCAACCTAATTCCATTTTGGGGTTAATTACAAGGCCATGCCCACACACGCTGGATGGGCCAACGCCGATGCGTGTCTAATTTTGCAACCTTATTTTTTGGGCCTAATTACGACGAACACCTACGGTGTTATGACCCACGCACCCCACTGCGCTTGGCCTGGCCTGGAGCCTCCTTTCCCTTCAAGCGCGCGCAGGTGGCGCGGTGGATGAGTACTGGGCCAATCGATCGATCAGCCCACAAAGTCCTGAGCCCTACCTCCACATTCCTGTGATGCACATTTCCAGGCCAGCCGCTTGCTGCTTTCTTTCACTTTTACGCTCCCAGATTTTGACGCGGGATTTCCTCGCCGCCACAGTTGGGCAATTCGCCACACGCACAAATCTAGTCACTTTTCTTTCTACAACATCTCTGCGGTCCCCCGACCGCTATGGCCGGCTTGGAGCTGTTGCTTGTTGGAGATGGAGAAGGCCAGACAACAGCCGAGAAAATCCGATCGATCACATGTCCACCACCAGTTATGCATTATGGTAGAGGAAGAGGATGCAATGTAATGCAATGCAACATGAACCATCCCTGTCACCGTCAGATATATTCAGATAAGGATGAAACCGAGCCACACCACTGAACGACTCCGAGCAAGGGAAATCAAATTGGGGACTTGAGACTTTGGCACATCCAACAACCACGCTCGACTATCAGCATCACTCCCCAAAATGCCTCATTCACAGCTTTTTTCTGTTTGCATGGAGGCCCAACAGGTAGTGTCTTTCTAATCAGTATACTAGCGTGCGTAGCGTCTTTCCAACCTGCCCTGGCAGTAGAGAACAAGAGACAACAGGGTACGGCTTGTGCTGTGAGTAAAAGGACTGCTCATCACCATCGCTGGGCCCTGGGACAAGAAAAGATAGCGAGATGATTTCCGTGCAGACCACAAAAAGGTTTGGACGAAGAGCCTTTTGTTCGAGGAGAGAGAGAGAGACGAGACCCATGCATGCATGCCCCAACCCGGCCCCCATCATGGCAATTGGCAATGCCAAACTTCCAATGGCATGCAAGAGCTAGAGGCAGGCAAAGCAAGCTCATGTCCTTGGCCTCCCTGCCCCTTCTCTCTAGTTGTAGCAGGGCTGATTGATTTGCCTCCCTCAACAACTCTCCAGCTATATGACCATCAGCCTGTTGGCTTGCTCGTAAACGATTGTAAATTTCCAGCCAGGAACCGTGTTTTTCTTTCACACCAAACCAGCCAGCAGTAAATAATCCACGATACGATACGGCCTCCCGAACAGGCTGCATACTACCAAGCATGTGTTATCTGCGGACAGTCCTGCAAACGGTCTGTAGGCTTTGATGATGAAGCCTTCAGTTCAATGTGATGATGTTTGCCAACAAAGATTAATTGGCTCATGGCTCACTTTGGAAATGTCACTCCGAACTTAGGAAGCAAGCTAATTAAGCTAGCTAAGACTATCTCCAACAACAACACCCAAAATACAAGACTCATTCGTCCTTTGGATAGCGTTATAGGCAAAAGGTTCAATACCTATTCGCCATCTTCTCCAACAACAAGACACAAAAGAGAATCATTTCTGCAAATGAGTTTCCAAGAGAGAGGATGCCCATATTTGGGTTATGTCTCTCAGACAACCCAAAATAGGTCTCCCGTATATGTACTATGTTGGAGACTGATTTTGGGTCTCTTGTTACCCATTTTAGGTTTGGGTGCCCATATAAGTTCCTTGTTGAAGACAGTCTAACAAGACAGGTGGCCAGGCACTACTGATGTGAATAGTGAGCTCTCCTGGTGTGGAAGCCACCGGTCCTGAGTTCGAGCCCTGCTCGGCCCAGTGATTTTCCACCGTGGGATTTATTCCCAATAAAATCTTGCAGGTCCTGGACACTCGCGTGGCGCTACAATGAGACTACGACGTGCCCATCGTCTACGAGACTTGTGTGGATTCGGTGATTTCCAAAAGGACGTTTGAGATGTATAGGTTGTAGCTTCTAGGGGTGTGCGTGTGTGTGGTGGTGTGAGTGTGTTGTGTAGAGTATAAATACTATAACTTGTACCCTAGGAAAGGCTCAACAAAAAAATGTGACCAACAACAATTCCCTCTTACTCCTAATAGCTTGTCCCCACTTCTCATTTAAGTGATATCAGTAAACTTTATTTATTATTAAACAAGACACACAGCCAGCGGACTAGTGAAGTGAGATTATCGCATGAATGAATGAATGAATGAAAGATGATGGGGATGGTGAACTAACAAAACACCCTCTCGTACGTACGAATTCTGGATGGATGCAATGTAATGTAATGTGACCTCGTCATCATGCCAATGCCTCATTTGGTCAACATGTCCAGGGAGCAAGAATTGACAAGCAGATGACCTCATGGAGGCAAAGGTGAAAAGGATGTTAAAAGTAGGCAAATGCATATATATCCACACCAAAAAGGGCTCAACTTCTAATAGTACATGAGTAGATCATCCAGAACTAGTATTAAAAATGGACTACAAATAGCCTTGTCTGTAACTGCCTGACTTGCCATATTTTCTTCTGGAGAAAGAAAACAGTAACAATCTCCTAACAGTGCTTGTACTTTCTCAGCAAGACTTTACACTAACTTGCATAAAGAGCACCACTTATTGTACTGTATTGTTAAGAGCTCCTCTTTGTAATGATGATGGAGAAATAGGACTAGTTTGACAGGTTGATGAAGATGCACGACCGAAATCTAAGCAGAATCTATCAAGAAACTAATTAACCTTACATCAGCAACTGTCACTGTGAAGGAGATCAGGGATCAACTAGCAATTAGTAATCAGAATGCATGTTTCCATTTCGTTTTCTCAGCATTGTGAATTGACCCAATTTGAATTGATGAGCTGCTAGCTAGCTAAGAAAGATGCAATGTCACCTCATCATCATGCTAATGCCTCCTTTGGTCAACATGTCCAGGGAGCAAGAATTGACAACCAAAAAAGTAGGCAAACTGCGCCCTTGTTTAGTTCGCGAAAAGTTTTCCCAAAAAGTGCTACAGTACCTGTCACATCGAATCTTGCGGTACATGCATGGAGCATTAAATGTAGACGAAAATAAAAACTAATTGCACAGTTTTGTTGGAAATTGCGAGACGAACGTTTTGAGCCTAATTAGTCCATAATTGAACACTAATTACCAAATAAAAACGAAATTGCTACAGTAGCCAAATTTCGCGCTTTTCGCGAACTAAACGCGCGCTGCATATATATCCACACCAAAAAGGGCTCAACTTCTAATGCGTAGATGAGTAGATCATCCAGAACTAGCATTAAAAAGACTACAGCTACATTGGTTACTTTATTCGCCCCCCAAACCCCAAAGAAAAATATACTACTGCCTTGGTCTGTAGTTGCCTAACTTCTCAAAATTTTCTGGAGATAACAGTAAAACACTCTCCTAACAGTAGCAAGAGTTTACACTAACCTGCATAAAGAGCACCATATATTGTACTCTATGGTTAAGAGCTCCTCTATGTAATGATGATGGAGAAATAGGACTAGTTTGACAGGACTTCTAAGCAGAACCTACCAAGAAACTAATTAATAAGCTCACATCAGTAACTGTCACTGTGAAAGAGATCAGGCATCTAGCAATTAGTAATTAGTGATCAGAGTGCATGTTTTCATTTCCTTTTCTCAGAATTGAGAATTGACCCAATTTGCATTGATGAGCTGCTAGCTAGCTAAGAAAGATGCAAAAGAACAATTAGGCCGAAGAAGAACCTCTAGAAGTAAGTAAGCTCTAGTAGCAATAAAATAAAATGCCTTTAGCTCTGTAACAATAAGGCTAGTAATCTCAGCTTTTAACGGCACGGGGCCTGATGAATCGGGCGCCAGGCGGAGGCGGTGAGCAGGCAGAGATCCTTCCACCCGAGCTTGAGCGCGCCGTTCTCCTCCACCAGCGTGTACCCGTCGGAGGGGAACATTCCCAGCAGCAGCGACGCCTGCGCGGCGGCGCCGCCGGCGAGCGACGCCGCGCAGAACCCGGACTGCGCCAGCTTCTCCCGCCAGCTGCCGACGAACTTGACGTCGCCCGTGCGCGCGGGGCCGCCGACGGCCAGCACGTTGCGGATCTCCCGCGACAGAAGCTGCTGCTCCACGACGTGCCGCTCGGGGCTGTCCTCGCCGTAGCTCGCGTCCAGCGAGTCGAACAGCGCCGAGTAGTAGTGGATGGCCTCCACGAACCGCGCCAGGAAGGAACCCGACTGGCTCAGGTCCTGCTCCACCATTGTCACCACCTTCGGGGCCAGCCTGGTGATTCATTGGTGAATGTGAATCAGTCAGTCAGTAAGCGCATTTGGTGGCCATTCGATGCTGCTGCTGCCTGCTGGTGCTGGCAGCGGCATGACGAGACGGCTGAAGCAGCTAGCCAGCAGCAGCAGTTAGCATTTTAATGATGCATCAAATCAACACTGAATTGCAGTTTATCTCATGTTCAAAGTACGCATTGGGCAGATATGGAGTACTACTAGCAGTCAATCAACAAAACTAGCGAGAGATTAGAGAAAGCATAACACGCATTTGATGTGCTTTCGAGTTTAGCAGCTTAGCTTCCTGATCTGATCTATAGTGTGATGAGGAGACGATGATTAGTGTATACGTACTAGGAGAAGATGACAGGTATTCTATTCAGTAATCATGATTCTGGCACTATGGACTAGAAAGTTGAGACCTTTTGGCTTGGAAAGTTGGCCATGATGGTAAGAACTTTCAGCTCGTTCCTAGTGATCCACTAACCAAATGCAAGCACGGTCGATCTTTTGTGGTTCTCCGTTCTCGGATCACCACAAAAGCATTGTACGTATACAAGATCCAACCTTTTTAGCCTACATAGAAAGTTGGTCATAATGACGAGCTTTTTGAGCTCCAAAACACAATTTTTTTACTAGTTAGCCAACTGACGGATCGTGCTTGTACCGGATGTACGGCGACTGATGCCTGCCTGACGTGCATATCGCAATGCCACATTGGTTAACTATGCTGAAAAGTAGCCATGATGAAAGCATAAAGATTTGACATGGCAGCAAGCAAGCAAGAATGCACGATGGATTGGAATTTGGAAATGGAGGAGTCATCTGCTGGAGTACTCCTACTACCTTTGGATAAGCCAGAGCGTGTTGGAGTCGGAGCCGGTGACGTCGTAGAGCGAGTGGTGCAGCCAGTGGACGGCGACGGCCTCCCGCCGCGTGACGCCGAGCTTGTCCGGGTCAACATTGCCGGCTTTCTCGGCGACGGCGCAGAACTCGAAGGGCAGGCCGAGCGTGTCGGCGAAGTCGGAGAGGCGCTTCCCCGTGGCCTGGAGCGCGTCCATGGACGCCCCCAGGCCGGTGAGCCTGACCCTAGGCGGGCCGCCGGGGCGGGAGGCGAGGATGTGGAAGAGTCCCGGCCACTGGAGCCCCTGCATGATGTCGAGGTCGATGATGTGCACGCGGTCCTCCCGCTCGAACGCCTCCTGGATGGCCTTGTTGGCGGTGAAGTGCGAGAACTTGACGAAGGGGCTGATGCCGTTGAACACCTGGAAGGCCGCGGCGACGCGGCCGCCGTGCAGGCGCGCCGCGACGGGGTTCCCCGGTGGCAGCGGCGCGTAGATGCCCAGGCAGGAGCTCACGAGGCGCGCCGACATGGCCTCGGCGAAGTAGGCGGCCACGCGCTGCGTGGAGGTGCCGAACGGCGTGGCTAGCTCTGCAATCTCCAGCAGCCACCGGTGCGCGTCGTCGAGGTTGTCCGCGTTCACGGCCTCCGCGCACTGCAGCAGCACGGTGAGCAGGTGGAGCCCTTCCTCGTCGCGCTGCCTCCGCCGCTGCTCCTCCTTCAACTCCTTGGCGGCCGCCGCCGCCGCCGCCGCCGCCGCCGCGGTCTCCTCGGCCGTAGGGGTCTTGGGCGACTGCGACGGCGCAGGCGGGTTGTTGGGCTCCTGCTCCTGCTGCGGCGGCGGACACTGCTTGTCTGCGGAATGAAGCGGCGGCGGCGGTGGAGCGGGAGGGAGCGCGGCGACGTGCGGGGCGGCGTGCAGGAGAGGTGGATGCAGCGGCGCGGGGTCGGCTGGGGCGAGGAGGGAGCGGAGGCGGAGTTCGAGGAGGGAGGCGAGGCCGGGGTTGCAGGGGTGGATGATCTCGCGGACGTTGTGGATGAGCTGCGCCACGGACACCCCGGCCCCGCCGCTGCTCCCGATGATGTCGCGGATGATGCCGTCCACCCACGCCGTCGTGGAGGGCGCCGCCGCCGCCACGTCGGCTGCCTGCGCGTGCGCGTGCGGGTGCGCCGCGGGGACGTTCACCTCCGCGCCGGCCTGGTGGTGCGCGTGCGCCTGGAACTGGAACGCGGGCGGCAGCTGGTGGAGCTGGGTGGGCAGTGCGGGCAGCTGCGCGCTGGCGGAGGACGGCGGCAGCGGCGGCGGGGGCGCACCAGCGGCGCCGGCGCCGGCAGTGACGTCGGAGAGGTCGCCCGTGACGTGGCGGCGCGGCGGCGGGAGGTCCACGTCGGGCGCGGGGCGCTTGCGGACCATGGCGGCTGCGGCGGAGGAGGAGTGTTGTTGCTGCTGGCCTAGGTGGTGGTGGAGGACTTGTAGGAAGTGGTGGTGGGATTGTTGGGGGAGGAGCGGCGGCAATAAGGAGGAGGAGGCGGCGGTGGCGGTGGCATGAGTAGCGGCAGTAAAAGAGGCGGGTGCGGCGGCGGCGGACGAGGACGAGGGGAAGAGGAGGAGCGAGGAGGAGCCCATCTAGAAACGCCAAGAGGAAGCCGCCGCGCGCATGGCGGTCGGGGTCGGGCAGCCCTGCGCTGCGCGGGGGGATGAGCAGCGGTTTTGTTTATGTGGCTTGGCGCCGCGCGCGCGGGCTGCACCTGCACAAGCACCACCAGTCCGGAGTCCGGACTCGGGATGGGTAGGAGTAGATGGACGGCGGCGGATGCGGGAGGAGGAGTAAAGAGGAAGACGCCGGCGGGAGAGGACCAAGCGCGTCAGCACAAGCGCTTGGGTTTGCAGGGGATGCTGGCATGCTGCTGCTGCTAATTTATGCACGCGCCGCAGTTAGGATTAGGATTAGGATTAGTAGGATTTGCTTGCCCTTGGGTTCCGTGTTTACCTGCCTCCTTTCTACTAGTACCACACACTTTACAATTTTATTATCGGTGGAGTATCCTTGTAAAAATCTTGTATTATCTCTGTGGCCAGCAAAATGAGGGAAAACGAAGCAAGATTATCACTAGTTTGTACTCCTCTGCGGCTCACCCCACAAAAATGTAATTCAAATTCAAACACAAAATGAGGGGAAAACGAGGCTAAGATTATCACTGGTTTGTACTCCCTCAGCGGCTCAGCCCCACAAAAAAAATATAATTGTAGGTATTAGATAAGTCAAACATTATTAAGTTTGACCAAATTTGTATAAAAGAATAGTATCCAGATCTATATCTTAAAACAGTTTTACTACAAAATGTATTTTATAATAATCTAACGATATTTATTCGATCCGCATACTAAATTTTAGTATTTTCTTGTATAGGTTTGGTTCAACTTAGTGCATATTTGGAATGCGAGAATTTTTCTCTTTTTCTTTGTTTTTCCTGTGAAATTGAATTGGTTTCTGTGAAATTCCTACATGATTTCTACAAAATTCCTATGTTCTAAACAGACCTTTAGATTTTTTTTCTTTCAAGAAGTGAGAACTACATTCTTTCTAGGACAGATGGAGTAAATTTCATTTTAGGTAAGTTACTAAGAAATGACATTTTGGATTATCCACACGGTCTCCAAAGACAAAATTTTGATCGTATTTTTCTATACTCCTTTCGTCCATAAAACTTGATATTTTAGAATTCAAAAAATGTCTTAAATTACATTCTTTCTAGGACAGATGGAGTATTATATTGTTTCAAATAATCTAGTAAATTTCTTTTTAGGTAAGTTACTGAATAAATACCATTTTGGATTATCCACACAAACTCCAAAGACACAATTTTGATCGTATTTTTCTATACTCCTTTCGACCATAAAACTTGATATTTTAGAATTCAAAAAATGTCTTAAATTACATTCTTTCTAGGACAGATGGAGTATTATATTGTTTCAAATAATCTAGTAAATCTCTTTTTAGGTAAGTTACTGAGAAATGCCATTTTGGATTATCCACACAAACTCCAAAGACACAATTTTGATCGTATTTTTCTATACTCCTTCCGTCCATAAAACTTAGTATTTTAGAATTCAAAAATGTCTCAAATTACTTGATGTTTTAGCTCTTGAACAATAGATTTAACCACATTAGTTTGAGATTGCGGTCTGCATGCCTTCATGCATTACATTCTAATAATGAGGGATTATTCCTTAATTAGCAAGGTTCAACTTTAATAAATAGGCGGTAATACATTGGTAATTAATGTTGAGCACTAATCTATCCTCAAAGTCCTAAATTAAAACACCATGTTTTTTAGGACGGCGGTAGTAAAAATATATTTGTAAAGCATTACTCCCTCAATTCCATAACATTTGTCATTTTAGTTAATCTCACACTAATAAGGACAGATATGTCCTAATTAAGTTCATCACAATGTTTAGGTTGTGTTTGGGACCATGTATCTTGTGGTGAGAGTTGAGGGAAGCAGAGAATCCCACCTAATGCCGCATGATTTAATTTTGTCGATTCTTTGTTGTAATCGTGCCTGACTCAACCACCGTGAGAATGAACAACAAATATGATTTTACGTATCGCGGCACGACTAACCCATGACATGATCAGATATTGCTGTCCAAAACACGGTCTTAATGGCTTGCATCGCCATTGGCAGGTGCATTTGGCCAAAGACATGTGTTTGTAAGTTGCAACTATATTGATGAATATTGGGACTCAAGTGATCCTTTGGTACGTGAGAGTGACAAATAATTTGAGAACAAACCTCAATATAAATAATCCAAAAAAAACTCCACAATTTAGTCCGTCACAAACATGTGGCATTTTAGATACCCACGTGGCCCAAAACGTGGTTTTGGCTCGTATTTTTAATGTAAAATTGTTTATAGAGTACTAAAATTGTACTAATGTAAATAAAACAACGTTACATTACCAAACTACTCATGTCCACTTCCAATATCTAAACTGAATGCAGTAAAAAGATATTGTATATAACTACAAAACTGAATTATTATGACTAGACAGAGTACCGTCATACGAGTATTGTACAGTTATCACAACTATCATGTGAGGGCATTTCACATGTGTGAGTACTCATGTTCAAAGGAAAAACAAAATCAAAAGAGGGGCCGGATAATCCTAGAGTTTTTTTTTTCTTTTTTCTGTTATGCAGTGTAACGGTGCCACATGAATGACTCTCCAAGCTTGACGTAGTGGTCTGCTTTCTTTCTTTGATCTCTCTAAGGCTCTAGCAGTCTCAAATCAAAACTTCAATCTCAGCAAAAAAAAACAATATTACAAATGGGAGATAATAAAAGCCTAAAACCAATATCAGTCAGTCACGTTACAAACCTTGTTTGGGGTTCCCTCCGACCCCCGTTGACATCCATCCAACGTCATCCTCAAGCTAGCTCTCCTCTTTTCCTTGTGTCATTTCATCTCCACCTGCTCTTGCCTTTCTACCAGATCTCATCTATGAAAAACCGCTTCTTCCTTATATATCGTCCCCTGTTTCGTGCTGCCCTTTTTTCCTGTGCTCTACTCCTATATAGCTTTGAATGAAAAAAAGAGTAAAATGCAAGCTGGCGGGTCTCAAGTGCAATTTGAATAAACATGCTGAGTACATGTTGGTTAGGGAGGTTTGGACCTCTAGTGACCTGCACAAAAAGAAATACTAGGCGGGTCTCGAATAGGAGGCTGATGCAATCCAATTTTTTTTAAAAAAAATGATATACTGCATCCATCTGAAAGAAATTGATTTTATATGTTTTAAGTGAAACCATTGTAACTTGTAAGATTGGCTAAAATGTTTATTTATAATACTAGGTAAGTATAATTTATTATTTTTAATTGAGTACATGTTCATAATACACCCATATGGCCACTCAGGTAGAGTGTGGTTATTTTTGTAGCAATCTAGTCAAACTTAGGATATTTTGAGTTATTGATCAGGAGCGAAGCATCTAAAAGATCAATTTCTTTTTGGAACAGAGGTGGTACATATATAGTTTCCCTTTTTTCAAATTAGAAGATGTTTTGGCTTATTCTAGAAACATTGTTTTTATTGTGTATTTAGACATAATATACATCTAAGCATATAGCAAAAGCTATGTATCTTGAAAAGTCAAAAGGTCTTAATGCATTTGCCAAGTCTAAAACATTCAGTATGCAACTTATTACTAGTTGGTTGGTTAATACAGTAAAATCCCAACGACCGCCGAGAAGTAAGACAAAATAAAGGAAAGCGGGTATAGCAAAAGCTATGTATCTTGAAAAGTCAAAAGGTCTTGATGCATTTGCCAAGTCTAAAACATTCAGTATGCAACTTATTACTAGTTGGTTAGTTAATACAGTAAAATCCCAACGACCGCCAAGAAGTAAGACAAAATAAAGAAAAACAGGGAGGAATTAAGTTTGTTATTATGAAAGCATGTTTCATGGTGGATCTATCAGCATCAGCATTATGTCGTCGTCCACTAGTACAGAAACAAGTTGTACTTTCGGTTGGAAAACCCCTTCAGTCCCGATTTCTCAACTGGGAGCACGAATCTGGGACTAAAGGGCCCCTCCTTTAGTCTCGGTTTCTCGTCCGGGACTAAAGGTGAGAGGCCTCCCGGCCTGGCCACGTGGGCCGGCTCTTTAGTCCCGGTTGGTATTATCAACCGGGACTAAAGGTTTTCTTTTTTTTTCTTTTTTTTTATTTTCAATTGATGATTCGTTTTGGTTTTCGAATACGCATTCTACGCTGCTAATAATATACATATTTTACATGTTTATAATGTTCGAACATTTTGTACAAACTAAAGTATGAAACTAACGTATATATTACATGCATATACATATATTGTACGTTGTTTTATGTACATATAATATGTATATATATATATATATTACAAATAAAGCTTGCATTGTATATTCTATCATATCCTTGGGATAATAAATTCACTCCATTTGGTTTGGCTTCTATGTTTCGTTCATGTCACTGTAGAACTCGCCGGCGGGGTTTAAGACCTGGTCATTAAGAAATCCTGCTATGGTCTCTTAAATTGCTTTTAGTTGGTCACGTCGTATGACTTTTTCCTTCAACCATAGAGTCTTCAATAAAAGTTAAAGAAAAAGTATTAATATATATATATGTGTGTGTTGGTCACGCGATTACTTATATATATGAGCAATAAAAGAAATTGTGAATATATGAATATATTTATATAACGTACTTTGAGGATCTCTTCAGGAGTTCTTTTTGAGTACGCCATGATGAACTCGCAAACATAGTATCCGCAGTAGTTGGTCCCCTGTTCTTGCCTCAGAACCCACTTTTACGAGAAAAAAGATCTGGTGATTTAAAAGCATGTATGGTGTTAATTGAATTATATATATATATATATATATATATGTAGCTAGTACTTATTTTGTGTGCGATTACATCCAGTGGCGCTCTGCAATGTTTCATGTGGTGTTCCTTAATGAAACTTTTCCAAACACTGCGCCTAATAAAATAAAAAATTAATTTGACCTTTAATAATTGTTGCAGTTAAGAGATCGGGGTATATATAGTTGCTAGAGAGACCAAATTACCCTTGGATAATAT